ATCAGTAAGTCAGACTGGAAGATTGTTGCTACTCCTCCTCCTCGCCCAGAACTTCTGAGTATGTGAAAATTTAAATTTCACAAGGAAATCAGAGAACTAAGCGAGGACAGGCACCAAGGGTACAGCTCCATTTGAAGTAATTAGCATGGACTACATTGAGCTGACCCCAAGTGGACAGTACAAGTACTGCCTAGTCTTAGTGAACAATTTTTCTAAATGGGTAGAAATTATTTCCACAAAACATGCAAATGCGCTGACAATAGCAAAAGCGTTGTGTAAACATATCATACCTGAGGTTGGTATCCAAAAAATCTTACAAAGTGATAATGGAAAACATTTTGTGAATGAAGTGGTATCACTAATGTCCAAACATTTAAACATAACTTTGAAACATCACTGTTCCTACCATCCACAGAGTGCAGGATTAGTGGAGAGAATTAATGGAAAAATTAAAAATAGATTGAAAAAAATTCATGCTAGAAACAGGAAAACCATGACCAGAGTGTTTGCACTTGGTAAAATTACTCATGAGATGAGGATTATTCCAACATCTGATGGTTTGACCCCTTTTGAAATAGCGAATGGGAGACCTTTTGTTCTACCTTTATGGGAAGGACAGCCATGGGCAGAAAAAGAACAAGATGACCCATTAACTAAGTGAATTCTGAAGCTGTTCAGATACAGTACTGTTCAAAGAACATGTAATCTGCCCGGAGCTCCTTTTGTTTCCCCACAGGAAGGCCTGAAGCCTGGAGACCGAATGCTGATTAAAATCATAAAAAAGGAAAAATTGGGCAATGTAGGGTGGGAAGGACCCTACATTGTGCAACTAGCAACCCCCACCACTGTGAAGAGATCCAGGAAAGAGAGACTTGAATCCACCAGAGTCATTGTAAGCTGATTAAAGATTTTCCTCAGCGAGAAGCCCAGTTACCTTCACAGGGACCCCGCAACTAAGGTAGGGATCTGTGGTGAAGTCCAGCTTCAACCGTCAAAAAACCTTCAAAAAAGAAAAAGATTGCAAGGTTCTATGTTTCTGTAGTAATATCACCAACTCACCCCATTAATCTGTTAGGATGGGAATTGATGGGAAAATCAAGCAATTTTTCCCAAACATGGCGGCATGAAGGCTGAATGTGTGGAACATGTAAATAGTGTTTCAACAAAATCTTCTTGTGTTTATATGCACTATGCTAGAAGCACATTGTGAGATCCACAGGATGAAACTCTGTTAGTTGAACAGTAGTAAAGATTTTCCTCAGCGAGAAGCCCAGTTACCTTCACAGGGACCCCGCAACTAAGGTAGGGATCTTTGGTGAAGTCCAGCTTCAAAGGGGTTTTTTTTTTTTAGCACCAATCGTCTCAACGCTGGTGAAGAAATCAACCTAACCTTGTCCTTTAGAGTCCTGGTTAGTGGGTGTTTCCTTGGACGGACTGGTGAAGATGGAAAATCCAAAGTGGTTTTGCTGCCTGGTGATGACCGTTGGACTGGTGTTCCTAGGGACTCAAACTGACTGTCTGAAACAAAGGAGGAACAGAATGGTCTTTGATGGATCCACAGCAAGTCATCCTACAGTGCCAATATGTGGTGGCAGCATTCCAAGCGAGTTGCTGAAGATTTGAACAAAACAGACTGTTATGTTTGTACTTGTATGCCTACTTCTATGCATACAGTATGAATTGAAAGATGCAGGTGTTTATATGCACAACAGGGGGAAATGTTAGGTTTATTCAATGATGATTATAAAGTTAATGTGTGCATATAAAACATTGAAGAAATAAGATGCTACATTCTGTCCTCAGGAGGGATAATTTTGTTTATTTCAGGGTCATTTCACTTTATGACCTGCCTCCAGCCAGTTGGTCATTAAGCAGGGTCATGCTGTTTTATGACCTGCATCCAGCTAGATAATCATTACAGGGTCTTCTGTCCTAAGACCCACCCATTTACTTGTGACCTGTTAATAAAAGACTCTGCTGTTCTGGTGGGGGGCAGAAAGGTGCTGAAGTGTGAGCAGGCAACCTTTCTCCTCCTGCAGGAAGCTGTGTTTGAAAATCCCTTGGTGTGTCAGATTCATTTTTTGTCCTATATGAACTCACAAGTTTTTGAAGCTAACACTGACAGAACTTACCTACTGTCTTTCAACCACAGTGAAAGGCTTTTTTTCATCCTGCCAACATCTTTATCCTTCTCCCTTTTTCTGTTTTGCGCCCTGGATAGTTTTTTTTTCTGGCGCTCCATCTTGCTGTTAAGTGTGCACTACGAGTGGTAGTCGAAGATTAAAAAAAAGCGCTCTTAGGGGCGTATCACAAGCCACCTGTGTGGAAAGGGAGAGCGACAGGAGGGGAGGTGAAGGGGGCGCATCAGAGGGGCACATAATCACTGCTGTCTCTCTGTTATTGATCGTTTTATGCTGTTAAATATGGAAAATGACAACAAAAAATTATTTATTAGAGGGGTTTTTTGACGCCCCCTCGAGTGCAGCTACCCCTATTCGTTGCATGCACTGCATACCCAGTTTTTGCGTCACTGCACAGCGATAAGCAAACTGCAGGGGGTCCTGATAGCTGCTGGTTTGCTGAGATGAACCAACAGAAGTCTCTCTAGGACCTTCATGGCGTGAGTTGCCAGGGCAACAGGTCACTAGTCACTGAGGACTGTTGGATGAGCCTTCTTTGGTCTTTGAACAAGGCAGGAGGTTATCCAAATGACTGGAACTGTCTCCAGAGTCAGACTAAGGAAGAAGAGATGCTTTAGAATCCCACAGAGCTGCTCTGCACAGGCCTTCAGGACTTCCATCCATTAATGACAGAAAAAGGGTTTTTAAACTGCTTTGAAACTGTAATTTGTCATTAAACTTCACCTTAAATATTACAGTTGTGTAAATGTATTAATTGTATCAAAACAGCAATATTACGTAGAGGTAAGTCTTTTCCAATGGGATTGGTGACGGGTGACTTCTGAGGATGACTACGGTTCTTTGAAGGAGCCGGTTCTGTGCAACAGGCAGATTGTTTATTTGTGTTTATGAAGCCAGCCTGGGGTAAGCCTAGAGAAAGAGTGTCTTAAAACACATATATCTTTTAATGTCCAACTTTATCTAAACAACATTTAAAGTTGTTGGTACAGTAAGTTATAAAACAGGTTTATTGCATAAAATGTAATGTGAAACTGTTCTTCACTCTATTCTGGTTTTATGTATAATTTCATGAATTAAAAGCATTTAAATTAATCTTTCTTTTAGTGGGTACATCTTACCTTCTCTGAATAATAATGTTTATTACCTAATTTTAATTACATTTGATGAGTACTTATCAGGTATTAATTACCTAATTTCAGTGAGAATGTAGCTTGTTGAATGTATACCTAAATGTGAGATACATTTCAACCAGTTTATTTAAGTATATCTTTTTTTTTAGTTACTTATACCCACCATGTGGAACCAAAATAAGTCAATCCCAATTGTTACCTCAGATTTATTAAATTCTATAGATTAGGTTTTAGCTTAGTCACCCTTCACCAACACCAGAGTACCCTGAGAGAATCAACACCAGCACAGGGAGGACAAATGCACAGAAAACCCAGAGACTACTGGAAGCGGGCAGAACCCAGCTGGTCCACTGTGGACTCAGTTATTCCTGTTTTGGCTCCTAAGTTGAGCAGAGTATACGAACCTGGTTTACTGTAGTTTGATGAGGGGAAATAAGATCAGTCTGAATTTATCTTGAACCCCAGTCGACCTCAGCAGATGGCCGCTCACTGAGCCGGGTTCTGCTGTAGTATCTTCCTATTAAAAGGGAGTTTTTCTCTCCACTGTCGCTAAAAGCATGCTCAGTGTGAAGGATTGCTGTAGAGTTAATCTAATATCTACTGTCCCTACCTGCCCATCCAAGAAGAGTGAACCCTCCAAAGTCACTGCAATCAGCTGGTTTCCTGAGATATAAAACCTTTAATCTGACTGGATGATCTGGTTGAAAATTTTCTGTTAAGATCCCTTAGATTGGAGATCTTCAAAAGGGGGTCTGCGACCCCTAGGGGTCCACGGAGGTACTGCATGGGGGTTGCCCCTTTGCAATTTCTTCCACTAATTGAAATGTCTTTATATAAACATTAACATGAATTCAACACACTGTAGTAAACAGATAAATGGAGGCAGAAGATGTCTTTCAGTCATCAATGCACACATTCAGTGACACACAGGAGCTCTTTCAAGCTGGGCACCGTTTCATTCACACCTGTCCCATCAACCAGGAATCAGAAATACTTTAATAATCCAAGGGTGAAATTACTTTCATTACATGACTCCATCTGTAATACAATGACTATATAAGCAGTTTGAGATGACACAATTTTATCCATCCATCCATCTTCTGCTTATCCAGTGTCGGGTCGCGAGGGTAGCAGTTTCAGTAGGGAGGCCAGATGTCACTCTCCCCAGCCACATGGGCCAGCTCCTCCGGGGTAACCCCAAGGTGTTCGAAGGCCAGCCGAGAAAAATTGTTTCTCCAGCGTGTCCTGGGTCTCCCCCTGGGCCTCCTCCCGGTGGGACGTGCTTGGAACACCTCACCAGGGAGACATCCAGGAGGCATCTTAATCAGATGCCCGAGCCACCTCAACTGGCTCCTCTGGATGTGGAGGACTCTACTCTAAGTCCTCCCCGGATGGTTGAGCTCTTCACCCTATCTCTAAGGGAGAGCCCAGACACACTATGGAGGAAACTCATTTCAGCCGCTCGTTCTTTCGGTCATGACCCAAAGCTCATGACCATAGATGAGAGTAGGAATGTAGATCAACCGCTAAATCGAGAGCTTTGCTGTTTGACTCACCACACAATTTCATATAATATATAAAATCAGGGTCTCGCTCGATCTCGCCATCAGTTTGGGGGTCCTTGGCCTGGACAACGTTGAAGACCCCTGCCTTAGATTATGTGATGTGATTTTCCTCTATAGAATTAAACTGAATAAAATTGATTGTAGCAGAAAATGCAAAAAGAAACTTTCGTCATTTGAAGAATCTGACAAGTTTTTATTGTTGATGCCTTTGATATATTGTGTGAGTATCTGACCCATGAAGGAATCTTACTTTAATACCATAAAAAAGACGATCATCTCTTCACTTTGTCCATTTAAAATATGAACAAAAAGTCTTTAAAGTCTAGAATTACTGTCCTTCAAACCGTTTGTTCAACGCCTGTAAAAACAATGAAACCCAAGTTATGGTCTAGCAGAGGAAAGTTTAAAGCTGTCAGTTGAAGACAAGTAGGACTTTAACCCCTTAGAGTCTGCTTGAAGTGCAGGTGGTCTACATGCCGCACTGAGACTGCTGCCGGTGTCTGCGGACGCTGCACATCTGGCTGAAGGACTGTCCGCAGCGAGAGCAGCTGTAGGGCTTCTCCTGCGTGTGGACGGTGCGGTGCCTCTTCAGGTGACTTGAAGAGATGAAGCTCTTCCCACACAGAGTGCAGCGATAGCGTCTCTCTCCGGTGTGGACCAGCAGGTGGACTCTCAGGTTGTTAGGCTGTGCGAAGCCTTTCCCACACTGGGGGCAGGTGTAAGGCCTCTCCCCCGTGTGCACCTGCTGATGCTGCTCCAGCGCTGCAGCGTTTGGGAAGACTAGCCGACAAACAGAGCACATCTGCAGCTCTTTGGAAAAAGCAGCTCCGTTCCTGGGCGGCCGCCTCTGGCTGGGTGTCCTCACAGAGGAGGCGGGTGGAGGAGGACGTGGAGCGGCGATGACGGCAGCAGCAGCTACAGCAGCCATGTCAAAGGAGGAGGCAAACGCAGACACTTCATGAGGGGCCCCTGTGACGGCCAGGGGGCCTTCTGTGGAGTCTCCTTCTCGCTGCGATGGAAAAGAGGAGGAAGCGTGTCCAGAGTTTGTGTTCCCCAAGCCCAGCTGAGCGACCGCATACGCCGCCCCAAGATGGCCGACCCGCTCCTGCATCCAGGCCAGGTCCAGGTCCAGGCTGAGGTCAGAGCTGGGCTCCTCTGACTTCACAGCCGCCACCAGGTTGGAGGGATGAAGGTCGTCGTTTGTGGTTTCATCTGCCTGCATGTTTGGCTTCAGATCGCCGCCTGGGAGGATTTCAGTGAACTCCCTGCAAACCGTCCCAGGGCTGCGAGCGAAGCTGTTACACAGAGGATGGACCGACTGTCGCTTAGCTGCAGGTCTGAAGGTCAGATCTATGGTAGCATCAGTCGGAGACGGAGAGGACCGGGAGGAGGACAGGTAGACACCGTTACCGGTGTCCATCGGATCACAGGGAGGAGCTTCCTCACCTGGATCCTCAGCTGAAACACAACAAAGATACAAAAAGAGAACAAAGTTTGGATGAAAAGGAAAGGAAAATAAATCCCAGAGCATTCAGTGGTCAACAGCCATGTTCTTTCCATGCAAGTTAAATATTAATAGGATAATTTGACTTTAAAACCTCTTTTAAACTATCAATAAGCATTTATTTATCAGAGAATGACATCATAATCTGAGATTATCATGGCGTTGTTGGCCTTAAATCCATGAGGTGACCTTAAACCAGCAGAAAATGCTCTAAAGCTGCATTCAGATCAAACAGTGGATTCACCAGAACATAACGGGCCTGCTGTTGGACACAGAGAAACAAAGTAAGGCAAAGAAAAAATGTAAAGAAAGAACAGGTTTTATTCTTCATCTCTCCTCTAGCAGAGGCAGTCCGACTGCTGCCTGAACCCTAAAATCACACATATTCTCATCTTGCTATATGTTGTGAGGACCATGGGTTGACTCCCATTGATTTTCTGTAATTTTTAACCCTTTCTATGCCCCAACTTTAAAAATAACACTAAACCTAACCATTTCTCTCACATTAGTCCTAAACCAGCATGATGTCGCCGCCTTGGTGGTGAAATCAGAGAACAGTCCTCACCAGCCTTCATGTTTTAGATTCTTTATAATCAAGTTAACAAACTGAACATCCAAACCTTTCTTTTATGAAGCATTCAGCTCATGGTTGTACTTTATGATTCACCTTAATGTGGTTTAAACATGAATCTTTTACAGGAACGATGTGAACCATGAGAACAAACTCCAACAAATAGTGTTTTGTTTTCAATTCTGCTGGGTTTAATAAGCAGTAATAACAGATTATTATTCCATTTAGTTCGGTTTAACCCGTTAATGGCCAAAACAAAATCAACATGAAATGCCTGAAAAAGCATGAATTATATCAGCTGCTGTTCTGTGGATAACAGACATCTTGCAGGTTAACAGGATAGTTCACATTGTTTGAACATCACTGATTCACCATTATTGTCTGATAGAAAACTATCAGCTGCTGTGTGGTGACCTACAGAGTTATGAACGTAGCAACAGGCTACTATAAACTCTATGGTTGGTTAGCGCTTGGCTGCCATGCTGGACTCCAGGAATGCTGAGATGATCTCCTGCCCAGAGGTCAAACATTCAAACAAAATCTCAAAGTTTAGGATACAGCCTGGGTTATCTATGGGGTTCGGAGTGGGGGGGGTTTGCTGGTTCTTCACTGAACCAGATTCTGGTTCCTTTCCAATGTGGGGCGCAACCAGGTCCTGCTGGTAAATGGAGGGATCTAAAACTTCCTGGCAGATTTCTGCATACACTGTGGACTTCCGAGGGAAAGGTGGCCTAGTGGTTAGGGCATAGACCTTTGAATCCTGAGGTTGTGAGTTCAAAATCCAATCCCACAGACTGCCACTCTGGGTCCCTGAGCAAGACCCTTAACCCCACACAGTTCCCATGGCGCCCCACGATGGCAGCCCACTGCTCCCCAAGGGGATGGGTTAAATGCAGAGGTAAATTTCTCCAATGTGAGATCGATAAAGTTCAATTATTTTTTTAGGGAACTCAGAGGACCAGAACTGGCCGATCCTCTGCCAACCCAAACCCTCACTGACTGGACTTCAAACATAGTGGTTCTGGTTCTGTCTGCTCTTCCTCCAGACTCTAGGCCCTGATTTCCAAGGGAAAAGCAGAATTAAGGTAAGACGCCTCTGGTGCCGTCTCTGGTTCCAGAACACGAGGAGAGCAACATGTCTAGTATTAGTGGCTCTTGGTGCACTGATTCCAGCCTCAGTCCACTTCTAGAGGGGTGATTCTCTCTTTTGCTGATAAACTTCTTCCTTCCACTCAATTTTTGCTAATGTTCTTGGACACAGAACTCTGTGAACAACCAGCTTCTTCAGGAATCTCCCGTCTTTATGACGGGTCAGCAGTTTCCTACTGACCCAGACACCAACTACGGGAAACCTCTGCTGGTGCTTTAGGATGACGCGCATCAATAATGTGTGGCACCATGAGCTTCCATTAATGAACTCATTCCTGGTATTCATATCTTCTCAGACAATTTGGGTTTTCATTATATGTCGTAAACAGAAGGATTTAAATGGAAAAATTAAAAATCTGTTTAAAGATTTTATAACAGACATGAGCTTCAGATGCAGAGATGACTGGGAAAAATATTGGACTTTTTCCACATATTGCTTTGTTTACTGTTGTCGGTTTCCAGATAAAATTAAATAAAAAAAATTCTGAACTTTGACCAGCAGAGGTCGCCATAACACTGAATATTAGACCTGAATCAAAGGGCTGCGGAGTACAGTTATGTAACCATTTCACTGCTGGTTTTTTAGTTTATTTTTTCCTCCTAATGGTTTCATTTTTTACAGAACAAACAGCTGCAGTTTGAACAGGATTTTTTGTCATCCGGGTTGGATCAAAGATATTAAATTTTAAAGCAGAAGCCTCAAAAAAAGCAACAAATCGCAAACTCATCCACTTTATGAGGCTGTAGACCGATTCTGCAGTAAACTTTGTTTTTGTGAGGAAAAATTTTAACTGCAGAGTTAGTTTTATTTACTAATGTGAGAAACTAATCAGGAGCTTCTCTGCTTGGAGATAAAGTCTGGTTTATTTTACAGGTGAAGCTGTATAGGAACGCAGCTTAAACCACCATCAGCTGTTCTCTATGTCAGTGGTTCCCAATCATTTTTTGATGTGTGTTCCACTTTGGGCATTTTTTTTCTTACCATTAGTCAAAAGTATTGATGATTGTCCAAAAGAGGATTGTGCAATAACTGATTATAAAATAAAGACTACAGTAGCAGCCATTTAAAATGTCCCTTCCCAGTCAAACTCCAGCCGAATGGCAGCCCACTTCCCTGCAACTCCCAGCAAAATCCCCTACAACTGAAGTGACCCCCTCCCTCTCCTGGAGGTGAATATATTTTTACTCTGACTCCACCCTTTCACTGAATTACAGAGTCTGACCAGGAGATGGCGCTTCTTTTTAGATCTTAATGTTCACAAATCATGAAAGAATATTTAAGAACAAAGATTGATGTTTAAAAAGGAATTGTAGGGGACAACCAAAGGGCCAGCCAAGGGCCACCCAAGGAAAGTGTGGACATTTTGAATGGCTACTACTGTATTTTACTAAATCTTTGAACATGAGCATTTGATTCTTAGGCATATTATTATTTTCATCTAAAAAAAAACAACAACAAAAAAAACATATAGATGTTGCCTGGAAGTTAGTTAGGAATCAAAATAAATACAAAACAAAATCATACCATAAACCTATATTTAAAAAACTGGAGCTCCTCTGAGTAACTCCATTATGATCACATTAAAACTTGATGAATTAGGAACAAAAGACAGAACAAAGATTATAGTCAGACTGACTTAATTAGTTTGTTTGCAACAAGACACCTGAGCTCTGATAGGTAAGTGTGAAAAAGAGCTGTTGTCTGTTCTCTCCATCCAGTCTATTCCTCCGCTTGGTTTGCATGTGTATCAAAGCTGAAGGTGAACTCAAACATAACATTAACCTACAGTTCAGTTGATAAAAGCTTGTTTAAATTTTAGGTCACAAAAAAAACTGATCCCAGCCCTATTTTATTTCACTACCAAAGAAATAAAATATTTTCATGTACTCCTAGCAATGCACACGTAGACCACTAGGAGTACACGTACCCCTGGTTTGGAATCACTGCTCCATGTCCCTCTTTGGCATCTAAACTGTTTCAGATCAAAGGAGGTTTTGGCTGAAGCAGTCCAGGGGCTCATTACAGCCCAGTAGGATCCCAGACAAACAGGCCTGACCAGCAACATGAGGACTAACTGTGTGGCTGTCTGCAGTACAATGAGGCCACCAGTGCAGAGCTTGCTGAACAGATTGAAACATGATGAACCGTCATCAGTCAAAGCAGCTTCTTCCATCAATCCAGGCACCTTTTGATGTAGATCTACTAATTTTCTACATGTGATAGAGAACCGTGACACAAAAAGCATAACCAAGTGTTTAAACAGTTAAAAACAAATGTCGTACTGGACCCGTGGACACAAAACTCCCAATGACACCACTGAGAATCTAAGTTCAGTTCTCCAAAAGCAGATGGAGAAATCTACAAACTGGGACGGATCACCTAGGAGACCAGAGGAGATCAGCATCAGCAAACTTTTGTTTATGGGAAACTGAATTAGAGACTTGTATTTGTCAATAATGAGTAATGAATTCTCTCAATAAAAATGCCAACCAAATGAAATCTAAAAATGTAGTTTAAGCTAAAATGAAGCATTATTGTTGACATTATCAAAGGCAGAGATGGGAAGTAACGAAGTACAAATACTTCGTTACTGTACTCAAGTAGATTTTTCTGATATTTTTACTTTACTTTAATACTTATTTTTATGGCGACTTTTTACTTCTACTCCTTACATTTTTACACAAATATCTGTACTTTCTACTCCTTACATTTTAAAAAATTGGCTCGTTACTTTAGTTTTGAATAATTTCAAAGGAGTTACCGTTATTATTATTATTATTATTTTTCACGTCATCAACACCAAATTCAATCTAATTGGATGGGAATCTACGTTGCATTTGACGCACCACTACAAGATGAATCTACAGATTCAGCGGTATTCATTCGCTGCAAATCATTGCAGCTTGGTGGCGGTGGCGTTAGCATAGTAGCATGGACGACGAGATGATTGAAAATGAACACAACGGAGATCTAGTCCTATTGGCAGACATCCATTTAAAATGTAGGCAACGGCATGAAAAAAGTGGTTTCTACTTTTACTTTTACTTTTACAAGCCTGTACTTTGTTACTTTTACTTGAGTAAAGAAGTTTAATCAGTACTTCCACTTTTACCAGAGTATTTTTTAACACAAGTTTCTGTACTTTTACTCAAGTACGGAAAGTGAGTACTTTTGCCATCTCTGATCAAAGGTGTTTAGCTGCAGACATTAGCATTAGCGCTGAACAGGTGGGTTTGCTCACCAGAGGAGAAACCTCCACAGTCGGTGGTGATGTTAACCTCCACCTTCACATCCAGGCTGCAGCTCTCTGGCTCCTTTTTCTCCTGCTTCTCCACTAGCAGTTTGGTTTCTTCTTGCTGTGAACAGACCAAAGAAAAAGGTAATCGACTGATCCAAACCTGCAGGACACCTTGGAAGGTCACCATCCTGGACGTGTCGATTCTAACATCACTCACAAGTAGTAAGATAATCAGAATTCTGGCAATTGGTTTTTTTGCCGTATAAGTTCATTTGAAGTAAAAATCTTTTGTAAGTTTTTCGTGTGTTAAATGTCTTAGAAGAGATAATCACTGTTCTTCTGCCATTTTAGTGAAATAAGCACAAGCAGACAGTGAAAGTGCAAATTGGGCAACGATGAACAAAATGAAAGGTGTTAGTCATTTTATTCTAACATAATAGTTTTTCCAGAGTTTTTGGTTTTAATCGTGTTGGAAGTTAATTGTTGTTAATTGTTTACACTACCCTTGAAAAACCGTGCCGAGACCGGTCCGAGCTCAGTAACTGAGATAACTTATCGTGTGTAAATGGAAAGCAAACTGAACTGAACCAAGCTAGACACAACCGGACCGAGATAACTGCAGACCAGTTCCAGTGGTGGGCTCGGCTCGGTTTTTCCCTGGCTCGGTTCTCTGATAACAAGAGCGCATGAGCAGAATGCGTCATCTCCGTCTGGCTGCACATCGCAGTTCACACTCCATTCCAGTAGTTGGCGGTAATGACCCTCCAGAAATAGAAGAAGAAGAACAACTTCTTCTTCAGCTATAAACAACAATCGAAATCTTCTCCACTCAACATTTTACATAATGGCATTTTAAATAATAACACCGAAGTACAGCAATAATAATCAAGCATAAGTTTCTGAATGTGATGGGCGCCACTATTTTGATTTGCTTGATTCCCTCCTTCTTAGTCTTCTTCTTCTTGTGTTTTATGGCGGTTGGCAAACAACTTTTGGTGCATTACCGCCACCAACTGCTTGATTTCCTCCTTTAATACTGGCAGTATTACCGCAGATCGCCACTAGGAGGCGATGAATCGTGGAACCGAGATAGCGTGATGTGTAAACGGTCGTCAGAACCGAGCTCGGCCTGGTTAACTGATCCGAGCTCGGACCAGTCTCGGCATGGATCGGTTTTTTAAGGGTGGTGTAAATGGGGTAAAAATTTGCACTAGGGCAAACCAATACAAATTAGTTGCATTGGCCAAAAAAAAATATGTTTTCTCTCAACTTTCAAAAGTCTGATTTGGGTCTTGAACCATCAAGCTCAGAAGCAGAAATCCTTCTCATACAGCTGACCCCACAAGCAAAGTAAGAATGATTCTGAAAACAATATTATTTAACACCCATTACAACTGTCAGCAGTTGATCATTACATTGTTTAATCTGACCAAACTAGTTTTAACCAACTAGATCGGTTGTTTTTCCAACCAATCTATTCTTAGAATCTATCCAAACTCTATGCAACCGACAGCAACTTTCCTACAAACTCACACATCTTGACTGAATACTGAGGCTGTTTGAATGCCTGTCGAAGTTTTTGCGCTTTATGAAACACTTCCCGAAGCGGTCAAGTGGTACAGTGGAGTAGCGAGGCTTCGGATGTCATCTATTTTGGCTCCTCCCACAAATGAAGCAAGCCTCGATATGCATTTTGCAGAAACGCCCCCTCCGTTACTTGACACACGCCTTGAAGCCTCGGCTCATCTCATTACATCTCTGCTCACAAGTTAATGGTTAATTTTCTTTAAAAATATCAGATGTTTATTTGTAAGATCGTATGATATCAGTGGCTTATTTTACGCCTCCCTGCTCAAGGATCTGGCTATAGGAGCTCCGCCTCACATGACTTCAGCCTACTGTTCCTATTGGTGCAGAATCCTTTCAGGTCTAAGTTGTCATGGTAACACACTACTATTTTGCAAGTTCTCCCCCTTATAAGTCATGGAGGGGTCGGAAATTGCCATCGTAGGTGCATGTCCACTTTGAGAGACATAAAAAAAAAAAAATCTATAAGATAAGAAATCTATAAGAATATAGCCTATGATTTTTATAAGTATTTATTTGTATGAAACAGCTGCAAATAAGTATTTGAACACCTGTCTATCAGATATACTTCTCTCTGGTTCTAACATGGTTTTCTCTGTGAAATAGCAGTGTGTTCAAATACTTATTTTGCTCACTGTAGATATTTTGGACCCATCAAAAAATGTATGAAACAGTTGCTTATTTGTCTTCATTTTCGGTGAATACTTCTATTCTGCTTTACTCTAGATATTTTGTGGATGTACATTTGATTTAAATTAAACTTGGCTTAATTGTTTCGATGAAAAAGTTGTTGCCTTGCCTTTAGTTCTAGGAAACATTGACATATTAGAGTTTTTTTAGTTTATTTGTTAATGAAACAAGACGCCTAAACCCTGTACACATAAAACAAACCATTAACCCCCCACCACTGTGCTATACAGTCAGAGGAGCACTGCTCCTTTTTAAACTCATCGAAATGTTGGGTTTTTATGTTAAATCAATATGGATTGAAAATGCTCACACTATTTATTTTATAATTTCATTTCTTTTGGGTTGTTTTAATGAATGAGGTGTTGATTTCAGTTATTTTTTGGAGCTTCTGCTCATAGTGTAGAGTTTCTCTCATGTGTTGCTGATGGTCCTGGATCTAAAAGCTGTGCTGCTTGATATTTACCTGTAAAACCTGAGGAAACATTACATCTTCAGGAGCTTCAGGGACAGCTGTCACCAGAGGCCGATGGCTGCCGGTACCTGAAAAATACAGCGTGAAATATATACAATGATGATCTGCGTCACGTTTCTAAAATCATACACCTTCTAACCCAGAGGGTCACAATGTGGGGGGTCGTAACCCACCGGGAGGTCAGGAGACACCAAGTGAGGGTTTGGAGATGGTTTTTCCTTCATCGATGTGATCTTTGGGGGTACATGGGGGGGGGTGTCAAAATACATCATGAAATAAATCACTGTCAAGATGGGGTGCCGAGTGTACATTAATAAGTCAAATGAACAGGGTTCTCTCTGGTTCTAACGGGGTTTCCCCTGGTTCTAACAGGGTCCTCTCTGGTTCTAACAGGGTTCTCTCTGGTTCTAATGGGGTTTCCCCTGGTTCTAACAGGGTTCTCTCTGGTTCTAACGGGGTTTCCCCTGGTTCTAACAGGGTCCTCTCTGGTTCTAACAGGGTTCTCTCTGGTTCTAACGGGGTTTCCCCTGGTTCTAACAGGGTCCTCTCTAGTTCTAACAGGGTTCTCTCTGGTTCGAACTGGGTTCCCCCTGGTTCTAAACGGGTTCTCTCTGGTTCTAAAGGGGTTTCCCCTGGTTCTAACAGGGTCCTCTCTGGTTCTAATGGGGTTATCTCTCGTTCTAACGGGGTTGCCCCTTGCTGTAATGGGGTTCTCTGTGGTTTTAACATGGTTCCCTCTGGTTCTAACAGCCCCCCCTAGTTCTTATAGGGTCCCCCCTGGCTCTAACGGGTCTCCCTGTGGTTCAAACTTGGTACTCTCTGGTTCTGAAGGGGTTCCCCCTGGTACTAACAGGGTTCTCTATCTTATTCCAACAGGCTCCCCCTAGTTGTAAAGGGGTTCTCTGTGGTTTTGACAGGGTTCCCTGTGGTTCCCTGGTCTAATGGGGTTCTCCCTGATTCTAACAGGGTTTCCCCTGGTAATAGGAATAATGACAGAGACATCCTGAACATTCACTATGCTGTAATGTTTAGGGGGACAGAAAGCAGATGCCTCCCTCCTCTAGACAAGGGTGAAGGGAAGGTCATGAGAGATAATGAGTTCACAAAGCCTCCTTAATGCCGTGGTTAAAATGTATCTCCTTGATAAACTGAAGACTCAACGTTCGTGTGTACGAATTCTCTTTATATGCAGGGGTTAACAGCTACCTCACCAGAGCCACAATTAACAGTTCAACTGTTTGTGTCGTTCTCCTCTGCAGAGTAAAATAAAACCTTTTCTTCCATGCGTATTGCCTCTCAGTGCTCATTTTTAATTCACAAATTGGCGCCATGAAAACAGGATTCTTCGCTGATCCGTCCGCTTGGTGGATTCTAGAAGAAGGGCTGATCACCAAAACCATCTGGGTTTTTCTTCTACCTCAAATAGGCTGATGCTCCACCGAGTCGATCGATCTCGACAGGACAATAACTTCAGGAGACAGAGAGGAAGAAAACTAACCAACTCCTTTAAAGGTAAAAAACTTAAATATTGTTATAACATTAAGCAGGCAGTCGAAAGACTGACCGAGGTAGGCCTTAAATAGGCTGAGGGTAAGTCTTTTTTAACACCGAGGATTAAATAGGCTGAGGGTAAGTCTTTTTTAAGACCGAGGTTGTAGGTTTCACTAAGGTAGAACGAGTGTTGCAAAATATAAAAAGAGAAAACAACAATCCGGGGTAAATATGAGCAATCAAAATAAGAAAAAGGAAAAAAAGAAAAAGAAAAACATCTCATAATAGAATATAACACATAATATAATGACAGGAAGAACTTAAGAAAATTCACTGTTGTTCTTTTTACTAATGCACAGCCTGTATCCCAGTTTACCATGAGTCTGCTGCTCTCTGCTCTACCTCCAACCCATAAACCGAAGGCTACAAATCTGACTTTTATTGCCCTGGTTCTCAGAGAGTCGAACCAGAGGAGGAAGACAACGGGGGGGCTTGTGAGACAATCATTTTACCCCCAACTAGATTCACAACCAGACTTTAGTATCCCCGGTGCCAACTGCGGGTATCCATCCTATCACATTTGCTCCACAGTCACTAAATAGGAGCCACTATCCTCAACAGACTGCAAACAGCCCATATGGACCAGCTCCTCATTCAAGGAGGGACTGTTGAGGACAGTTGAGGGACTGAGATAGAAAACATGTGCAACGGGAAAATAACATTAAAGACTGAGGGACAGCTGACTCTCCTGAAAAACTGCCACTAAACTGTTCAAACTGTTCTCCATGCAGGCCTCAGACGAGAATAGCTGTCTAAATAATGGTTGCTGCTACATCTGTGGCACACCTGATCACTGGGCCAGAAACTGTCCACACAAAAAACATGGGGGCAGAGGAAGATGTGGCAGAGGCTCAGTTCATCATGGGGGTCCACCACCCTACCATGGAGGCCAGAGAGGAGGCTACAACCATGGGGCAGAATCCATTCGCAGCAAGGGGGATACCAGGCACCGAAGCGAGGTTACTCTACCGACTAGTGAGGGAGCCGTTGGAGCGACCCCCGGTTCGACAGACTGCAAGTAACACACACACACACAAAGTACATTTTAGAGACATATATTTGTTTCCTTAATTTTTTTTTATGTTTTACTCCGGTGAGTTGCTGGTCTCATGTTCAAATTGATATTCCTTTTCCATGTAATAATGGATATCCAGTTACTATAAGTCTCAATAACAGTTTGGTCAGGTTTTAATAAGCTTTCTCTGATATAAGGTAGGCTACTGTAGCAACATTTTCTATCTTTCTCTTATCTATAGGTACCTTTCTTTAATGATGTGCTGCATTAGAGATCTCTGAGGATTATTTAATATAAATCAGGCCTGTTTTCTAACCTCATAATATATGACCTCTGGAGAGTTTTGTTTTTTTTCACCTAAGAAAAATTTTGTAATGGTTCCCACTCTGATGTTTTCCAATCCACTTTCTCTGTTTAACCATGTATAGTGGATGAGCAGGGAGACTGTAGATTTTTGTTTTGCTCCAATAATTTGGTAACAAATTGGCAATAGTTACCTTTTCTTCTCAAAATTAAATGCTGTAATAACAGGACTCTCACATATTCTGCGCGTTTGTGATGGTTACTACACTGCTATCCCAGCATTGCTTAAGACACTGTGGGTGATTCTAATCTGAACCCTTTCGTACCCCACCTTGTCATACCTAAAAATCTTTAATTTTATAGATTTGCATTCAGTAAACAACACTGGAGGAAGTCTCACCTCATAACAGTGTTGTAAATAATAAAATAAGGGCCCCCTTAATATTTCCCTGGATCTGAAATGCTTTTCCTTTCCGGATCATCACACCCATAGAACACTGTTGTTATTTTGACACATGAGAAAACATGTGTCAAAGGGGGGAGATTTCTATAAGGGTTTATATAATCATATAAAATTAAGCAATAATGATATTAAAATGAATCCATTGTTGCTATCATTAAATACTTCAGTTTAGTCATTCAAGCTATCTCAGTCTAGTTTTTTTGGGCTCCTTTCTTCTTAAATCTGAGGGGCAGCCTATTCTCCATCATTCCTCCATGGCTGATCTATGAGGCTGAACTATTTACTTAATTATCTGCCCAAACCTGTGAACTGAACGGCTGCTAAAGAGGCTGCTGCATGCCCCCACCTTTGCTGAGATGAGGTCCTTTGTTCTGTCATCTGAATTGAACAAATGGAACCCTTAGAATTTACCCTTTTTTTATTTTATTTTTTTATAAATAACATCTGGTTGGACTTAAATGGTACCCTAAACATTTATCCACCCCTTTTGTCTTTTGATCCATGGGGGACCATGTGTCAAAAATGGAAGAATTGGAAATAGATAAAAATTGGTTCACAGTTAATTTTTTTTCTCAAATAGCAACAAAACATTTTGAATATTGTTTAATCTGTGCATGCCAAAACATTTCTAGATAGAAAATGATGGGCCAGGGAGCCCACAAAAACAGTTGATGCTAGTTCTAACATCTTATGATAGATGTTATTGAAGTAACTCCATGTGAAGGAAAGAATTGTTGCTTGGTGATGTAGATATGTTTTCAAGATAGATTGAAGCCTAACATTTTGCAAGTGAAACATTACAACACATGCTGAAATGTTTAATGTTAACCTAATGAAGCATTGTGCCTATCATCCACAGAGCCGGGGAGCGGCTGAAAGAGAAATTAGATCGGTGAAGAAACCGGTCTGAATTGGGTCCAGGCACTCCAAATTATTTTGATAGGCATGCACCGCCGTAAAAAATCTAACCTGAGGCTTTTTGATATTCTCTTTGCAGGACTGCCAGAGACTCATACAACTACACTTGCTTATGATGATAAAATGCTTAATTACTTTTAACGGGGATCTCTCTCTCCTTCTAACAGACCCCCCCCCCCCCCCCCCCCCCCCCCCCCCCCCACCCGGTCTAATGGGATTCTCTCTGGTTCCAACGGGGTTCCCCCTGATTCTAACAGGGTTTTTCTTTGGTTCTAACAGGGTTCTCTCGGGTTGTAACAGGGTACCCTGTGATTTCTTCTAAGGGTACCATTAGAAGAAATCAGTGGCTGGATGTGCCATAATTTTCTTCAACTGAATAAAAGCAAAACTGAAGTAATAATCTTTGGACCAATAGAGGAGAGATCTAAAGTTAGCACACAGCTTCAGTCGCTTCAGCTAGTAACCACTGATCAGGCCCGAAATCTAGGTGTAGTACTGGATTCAGACTTGAACCTCCAAAAGCATTTAAAGAAAATTACAAGGTCGGCGTTCTATCACCTGAAGAACATTTCCAGGATTAAAGGAATAATGTCTCAGCATGATCTGGAAAAACTAATCCATGCGTTTATTTTTAGTCGAATTGATTACTGCAGCGGAGTTTTCACAGGTCTGCCTAAAAAGTGGATCAGACAGCTGAAGCTGATCCAGAACGCTGCTGCCCGTGTCCTCACTAAGACTAAGAAGGTAGAGCACATCACCCCAGTTCTAAAGTCCTTCCACTGGCTCCCTGTATCTCAGAGAATAGACTTTAAAATACTTCTGTTAGTCTATAAATCTCTGAATGGCTTAGCACCTAAATACATCACAGATTTGCTATCAGTGTATCAACCCTCCAGACCACTCAGGTCTTCTGGCTCCAGCCTGCTCTGCATACCTAGAACCAGAACTAAACATGGAGAAGCAGCATTTAGTTCCTATGCTCCACTTATCTGGAACAAACTTCCAGAAAACTGTAAAAGTGCGGAAAGCCTGAATTCCTTTAAATCAAGATTAAAAACACATTTGTTTAGGATTGCCTTCAACTGTTCTAGTTAAACAGTTCAACTGAAACATATTTTATTTAGTCCAACTGTTTTCAATATTCTTTTTTGTTTCTGCATTTTTTTCAATTTTTTTTTCCTACTTGCTTTGATTCTGTTTTATCTGCTTGTATTTTAATCATGTAAAGCGCTTTGCATTGTCTTTGTACTGAATTGTGCTATACAAATAAATTTGCCTTTCCTTGCCTACCCCTTGTTATAATGGGGTTCTCTCAGGTTGTAACAGGGTTCCCCCTTGTAACGGGGTTCTTTCTGGTCTTAACAGGGTTTTAGCAGGTTCTATTGGGGTTCCCCTTGTTCTAAGGGGGTTCTCTATGGTTCTAAGGGTGCACCCTCTGGTACTACCAGGGTTCAATCTGGTTCTAATGTGGTTCTCTCTGGTTCTAACCAGGCTACTCCTGGATCCAACAAGTCTGCAGGTGTTCAGCAAGGCCATTATAGCCAACTTAGTTTTTTTTCTAAAAGTCAATGAAAGATTTACCATAAATAACAGCTTCTTTGGACTAAATATTAGACCAGCAAGCAAATCCATCCAGAGAGGATTGTCATTACTTTAAAAGATGAAATAGTCTAGAGTCCTGTACTTAACTAAGTTTCTTTTTATTTACACTTGTGTGTACAAAATGACAAAATAAAATCATTCTAAGTCTAAGTCTCTAAGTGTTCTGAACTTTGTGACAGAGCAACCCAGTCTCATGGGAAAATGTACCTCCACTACGTTGGTCCACACTGCAAAACGTAGTGGAGGTACATTAATGGCCATTTTTTTGTGGTACTGTTACATTTCTTCTGCCTATACGCTTTCTATTGTTTTACGTCCTAGTCACGTGACTTTCAAGATTCCAGCTGGGAGAAGAAAAAAATATATATATATGGCCGACATTCGCTCATTTTTTTGTGGAAATTAATAACTTGAGTTTGTTTTTGCATTAAAATGAGTTTTGATTACATTTCTAGTGAGAAATGTATAGTTTGAACCTGACAGAACTGGACACAGGTACTGCAAACAACAGAACAGCGAATTCCAACTGAGGGTTTGACTCAATACTGGAGGTGATCCCGGGGAAAACCCCCCCAAAAAACTAAAGAAACTCTGAAATGGACCAGCTCTTTGTCACATCATAACACAGATGGTTCAGATCATCTGTCAGAAGAGGGACAGAAACTCTATAAAGATACTTTAACATGTGATAAAAGGATGGAATGAGCTTCATTAATCAGGTTTAATAATAAAAGATAAATCATTAAAAGAAGATGCCTCCAACAACAGCCTCTACCACAGATCTGAGGTCTCCACTACACAGGCATTCACCTCTGCCTTTTCTGTGCCATCTCTTCCCCTCCTGGTATTCTGTGCCTGGCGTGCAGATCCCACCTGTCGCTCACTCAGCAGCATCTCTATCACCTGCAGGATCAGCTCCACCCTCCCGCCTTCCCTCCATCCAGGCTCCTTTTATTCTGGCTACAATCAGCCTCTGCTGACACATTCAACTTTGGTCCTTTTTGGTCTTGCTCTGCCTTTTGTTTAATAAATTCCTTTTTTAAAGAACCTCTGGCTGAATTCTGGATCCTCTGCTGTGATTCATTACAACATTTTTACATTTCTTTGTAAAAGACGTAATTTTTCTTTGAATGAAGTATTGTTTTGTCTGTGTGTCATAGATTTTTGTATTTTATTTTATTTATTCATAATTTTCAGTTGAATGGACTCAGGGAAAAATGTAGATAAGAGCCATGAGAGAGAATACAACTGATTTGATTTTTCTTCTTATTTTGCTATTTGAAAGCAGTGATGGTTCGATCATAGAGCAGCACAGTAATGCATCTTGGTTTAGAATGCGTGCACTTTCATTTATTTATTTATCTTAGCAAGTCTATTAATATAATAAAAGTTTATTAATATTATTGATACTAATATTTTGTTTTTAAAAACTAATGTGTTAGCTCAAGGTTCAATAGGCTATGTTCATTTAGTGTTTTAATAAACTTTTAACCAGTCCGGCCTTCGGCTTGTAGCAAATTAGTTTTTTGGCCCTCAGTGTATCTGACATCCCTGGATTAAAGGATATTAACAGTCAGGATTATGTCAACTCGCTGTGGCGTCACTCAAACGTCAGGTTTATTTCCTGGTAGCTGGAGCTGAGAGGCCACGCCCACAGAACATTAGTTATCACCAGTTGATCTCACACCGAGGAGCTGAACCTCTGCTTGGGTTCAGGTTCTGGTAGCGGTTCGAACCCAGCAGCTCCAGAACCACCGAGCAGGAGGAAGCAGCCATCCTGGCCGCAGGGCTCTCTGAGCGGTTCCGGGATGAAGGCCACAGCCGTCAGCTGTCCTGCTGCTTCTATTACCAGGCTCCAAAATCCATTTACCTTCAGAGGGCTTCAGATGAGCGGCCAACATCTCCTCTCGCTGACGGCTCTTCCTCAGCCTCCTCTCGCAGCTCCTCATCTTCCCCTCCGTGTCTCGCAGCCTCTGCCGCAGGGCTTCGCTCTCCTTCTGGCTCCTCTGGAGCTCCGCGTCCATCTGAGCGCGCAGAGACGCATAACCAGCCTCCACCAGTTTGCAGATCTCCACCACTGCAGAATTGGCCAGAAGCTCGATAACCGAGGCGATCTGCGCCTGGAAGCCCAGACAGTCCTCCATCATCTGCAGCATGAACGGAACCACGATCCGAGGGAGTCCGGAGGGACGGACTCCTGCAGCAGCTCCAGGTTCCTGGCTTTAACCGATAACCAAGGAGCTGCGCATGCGCACAGAGCATTCCCTCATCTGAGAGCCACAAAAACTACTTCTAATCCATTACAGAGCAAGTTTAGATATTATAGGTGAAATCTAGATAGTTTCTCTTACTTTAGTTCTTGATCTACAGCTTAAGGAGAATAATTTAACTGGTTAAAGGGTGAATTGAGTTTATTCTTTAATTTAGTCCCTCCACCAGAGAAAACAGCTCTTTGGTGTTGGCCTTGGTTTAGTTTGGAGTGTCACTGTTTGAGGCTGTGGACAGGTGTCTATTATACAGGAAACAATTGGAGGAGAGAAGCTACTGGTCTGTGAGAGCCAGAAATCCTGCTGGGTTGAGGGTGAACAAATAATTGTTTACCACAATAATTTACCAATAAATTCTTTAAAAATCCTTCAATGTGATTTCCTGGATTTATATTTCTCCCTTTGTCTTTCACAGTTGAAGTGTACCTATGATGAGAATGACAGGCCTCTCATTATTTTAAGTAGCAGAACTTGCACAATCATTGGCTGACTAAATAATAATACAGATAGATAGGAAACATCTCTGTGAAGCTGCTCAATATAAGACTAATGAACCCTGACCTGCCAGGCTGCTTAGGAGGGCATTGGTTAAAGAGTGGGTGCAGCAAAGAGAGATGCAGTGGTATGAAAAGTATTTGCCCCTTTCCTGTTTTTCTTTTTTTTATATTCATGTTCGTCACAATTAATCACACAGAACAGTTTTCCTATAAATTTTTTTATTAAAGGATAAAAAAAAAATCAAATTCTTCTTAAACCTTTTCTTTTACCACTGTATATATCAGCCAAATAAACCAGACACAAATATCATTAAAAGCAGCTAAATATAAATAATTCAAGTCATTAGATAATATTTTGAGGGCTTAAAATCCCTACTGTGTTTAAAATGTAATCTGTCCATGAAAAATTATCTGGGAACAATGAATGTGAATTAAAGGGATGGCATTAGGCAATGATGATCATTTAATATTTACAAATATAGTGTTTCTAGATATTATGAAGAATCTGGATAAGGGAGATGCTGAGGGACAAACAGATCAACAAATGCAACACTTAAACTTCTTGTGATTAATAACTAATAGAGGTGATATTAGTTTTACTGTAGAGTATTACTTTCTGGGGGCCAACCCATGCCAACAACCGATACGGGCAGCCTTTAGGATTTTTATCATCACAAAACCAGGACTTTAAACATCTGATCTACAGTGTTTAGACCAACATGGGCTCATTTAGCACCAAGCTGGTATATTTTCTTATTCCATCCTGTGTTCTCCTTTATCTTACATCATTTTTCTGCTGTAGTTTTTTGGTTGGACAAGAGTTCCTGTGTTTAGTTGAAGGGTTGGAGAAAATGTTCAGAGGATCTTTATTCTCAGTGAGAATTAACTCATCTTTGGATGATTTTAATCTATTGGAGATCTTCATCATGTTTCTCCATGTAACTGGCTAAGGAGAGCGTGCTGCCAATCCCAGAGCTGATCTCAGACTGTCTCACTCTCTTAGCCAGCCATTCAGCAACGTTGTTATGAGCTTGTTGGTTCCTAATCTCTGAAATGCTCCCATTTTCGAGGAAACATCTCCGCTCACTGAAACAGAAGAAAAACTGTTATTAACAAACAAAAAAGAAAATGGATGGAGCAAAGAGTTTGTAGAAACTCAGCGATTAATTCTTCATTATTTTAAACTTACTGTCTGGAATCATAAACCCATCCTTGCTCTCTGCCACCTCCACAGAGGGCACTGTTGGTTTCTCTGGTTCCTTTTCTAAAGCTTTCATCATTCTCTCCATCAGCTCCTGCTCCCGTCTGTTCCACTCCTCTTCTGTCAGCATGCGTTGTTTTTCTTGCTGAGGTAGAAACTGAAAGTTCTTTCTTATTCCTTCAGTCGTGAAGCATCCTTTGTTCTGTTTTACCATGTTGATAATTTTTTGGAACAGCTCTTTGACTTGAACAGGATCATTATAAAAGCTGCTGAGAACATGGTATCTGTTCCCACACTTCTCCAGAAGCTCCTGGAGCTCCTTGCCCTCTCTGACGATGTAGTTCTCTACAGGGAGGCCATTGAGCCAGTCTCCCCAGGTAAACAGCACCATGCAGTGTCTCCACACTCTCTCTGTTAATGGCATCAGGACCTCCACCAGAGCTTTGAGATCTTTCTGAGTGAAAGCTCTGAAGATTGGAACAACCAGGAGAAAAACATGAGGTCCAGGAGAAAACATGGAGACACTGTGGAGAACTTCATCTTTGATCCAGTCAGGTGGTGTTGGGTCTGAGAACCAGCCTGGTGTTTCAACCACTGAGACTTTTACTCCATCAAAGTCTCCTTCATGTTTCTCACATGTTGCAGATGTTCTCTGATCTTCATAGTTCTGAAAAAAACAAATAAAGTAATTTCTGGACGTGTTGAACTCAGGTAAACATCCAGTCTGGATGTTAGAATCTATTAAATGTTTTTTTCTTAATCATCATGATGGTTCACCTTTTCCAACCAAGCTCTCTCAAAGGTTCTGTTAAATGTCTCCTTGAAAAGGATCCGATTTCCTGCTGAACTCTTTCCTGAACATTTCTGTCCAACCAGAACAATCCTGATGTCAGTGACTGGATCTCTCTCAGCTGGAAAACAAACAGAAAAACCAAATAGTTTCTAATCCTGAAACATTAATGTTACAGGATTTTATCATAAACTTTTATAAAACTTGTTTACCTTCATAAACCTCTTTCAGGACTCTTGACTGTCTCTCGTTGATCTCCTTCAACCTTCTGGCTTCCTTGTCTGCAGCCTCCATCTTGGCTTCTATCTGTGCTGCTCGGTCCAGGTCCACTTCATAATGAGGATCTTCATTTCCTGCCCACATCTCTTCAATCTTCTCAATGAGCTCCTTTACCTGAGTCTTATCACTGTGGTCCTTGTTGTTCAGAACATGATACCTGTTCCCACACTTGTTCACTATCCACTGCAGACCTTCATCACTCTCTATACGCTCCTCCACAGTCTTCACTCCTAACCAGTCACCATAGGTAAACAGAACCAGTGTGTGTTTCCAGATTTCTTCTCTAAACAGGCTCATGTGTTCCTGGACAGATCTCAGATATGATGGATCAGCATTGACCATCAGAGGAATAACCAGCAGCACAGCATGTGGTCCTGGAGGACAGAGATTCACACTGTTCTCTATTTCCAGTTTGTCCATCTCACTGGTGTCCTGAAGGGTGTGGATGTAGAACCATCCAGGAGAATCCACCACTGTGAGCCGCCTTCCTTCAACCACACTGTGGCTGATTTCACTATGAGTTGTCTTTCTTCCAACACTTTTATTGACACCAAATGCATTTTTTCCTAGAATAATGTTTCCTGCTGAGCTCTTTCCAGCAAATGATCCACCAATCATCAATATTCTCAAACGGTTTGGAGGAATTTTTCCACCTAAATATTGAAAACAAACAAATAATTAATTATTTAAAGGTGTACAGCTCAGGTTTGTTTAGAGTAGAGCTGATAATGTTTTACCAACAGTAAATAAAAAAATTCCAAAAGTGATGATTAAATATTGTGTTTTGTATGTCAAGCTCCCAGAGACGTCTGTAGAAACATTTATTACTTTATCCTGATATAAAGAAAGTAGAATTACCTTCAATCTGCAGCTTCAGGTTTCTTCTTTGTTTCTGAACTTCATCAAACCTTTTCGAGGCTTTTTTAACCAAATCTTTCAGTCTCTCTCTCAGAGCATTTCCATCAGATTCATCAACAGAACAGTGTCTGCCCCTGTTCGGTTCAATCATCGCCTCAATTTTCTCTAGAAGCATCTTGACTTGATCTCTATCTTCTCTGTTGCTGATGTTGAGAACATGTTTTCTGTTTCCACATTGTTGAAGGATCCACTGCAGGACTGAACTTCTTCTGATTTCAGATTCGATGGTTTCATCACTACATGGATCGACTGCAGTGAACAGCACGATGGTGTGACTGAAAACATCTGCTTTGAAAAGTTCCAGGTGTTCCTCTAGAGATTGTTTGACATGATGAAATAAATGTAAATGAACAGGAATGACCAGAAGAAAGACATGAGGTCCTGGGGGACACAGATGGACACTATTCTGGATTTCTATCTGATCCAGTTTTGGGGTTTCTTCTCTTGGATAAGTCCACCACCATCCTGGAGTATCAACCACTGTGAGTCGTCTGCCGAGTACTTCCTGCTGCCTCGCTTCACTCTGAGCTGTTCTTCTGCTGGTGTCAAAAACATTGTGACCCAGGATGATGTTTCCAGCTGAGCTTTTACCGCTGGAAAAGTGACCTGATCTTCCTCCTATCAACACAATCCTCAGTTCTGTAGCAGAGCAGCTCAGTGCTGTTAAGAGAGATAAGGCTTTTTTTGATCACACAGTTTATAAACATCTACTTTAATTAGTCGTTTAGAGAAAGTGCTTTGTAATGTAACTATACATGTCTATTAGAACAATATATAATATATAACAATATATAATATATATAATAATTACCAATAATGTTTCCAGAAATTAAAAACCATCATATAAAATCTAGAAAACCAGAGGAAGCCATTTTGTTTCACCTTCATGTTCTGTTTAAAGTCAAAGTCTCTGAATTTAAACTATTTAACAACTAAAATAAGAGTTTATCAGATTATAACCAAAGCAGGATAAAGTTTGAGGGAACGTTTGATAAAAAGATCTCTGACCTGAGTTGGAAATATCAGCTGAAGCGGCCATTTCATCAGCTTCACTCTGTCGACTTTCTGCTTGTTTGTTCCAACAAAACCTGTTTCTAAATGAAAGTGAAAGTAGCAGAAGGAATGTTGTTTATGTTGAAGGTTGAATGATGAAGTTAAACAATGTCAGAGATCGCCATCTGCTGGACAACTAGATTAACTACAGGTCTAATGAGGTTTAGAAGTAAAGACATTAAAGACGTTAAACTGCAGATGTTAGAATTGAAGGAAATACAACATAATAAAATACAATAATAATCAAATGA